GGGGGGCCGCAGTGTCTATTCGGCAGAGCGAGGTGAAGATTCTGGATGCGCACATGACATTCTCGTACCTTTTCAGATATGGCAGAGGGCGGTTCAACGAAAAGTTCTTGGGCCCAGACGGATCAGAAGAGACCTTGCACGCGTTCTGGAGTGAGGTAGTTCGCCGACGGGACCCGCGGATACAGAATCACCCTATGCGCCTCAAGCCAGGTTGGATTAGAAGGTGCGTCCCGCTCGCCATTCACGGCGACGCCGTGCCAGTGGTTCGGGTGGGGAAGCCTGGGTCGGAGAGCTTGGAATGCATATCTATACAATCTCTTCTAGCTAAGGGACCGACGTTGAAGGTCAAGTGTTTGTTGTGCTCGATGTTCGAGAACAACAAGGTTGCCAGCGCCCCAGGCGTCCAAGACACGACAGAGACAATGTGGAAACACATCTGCTGGTCTTTGAAGGCGTTGTATGATGGGCGGTTTCCTGCAACAGATTGGAAGGATGCCCCGTGGGACCCGCTCTCCAGCGAAGCAACCATTGCAGGGCAACGCTTGTGTTCTGAGGAGGAGGCGTTTTTCGGAATGATCTTTTCCATAAAGGGAGACTTGGAATGGTACTTCAAGGGGTTAGGCCTCAAGAATTACAATCGGACTGACCCGGGCGAGTTCTGCCCGTGCGACAGAGCGCTGCCGAAAGCGATGTGGCCGACAAATTTCTCCCCCGCGGCAGCTTGGAAGGCGAGATTGCATACGGCGGCAGAATGGAGAGCTGGCAAGCCATCGCTTCATGCATTGTTCGCAGTGTTTCCATTTGTATCATTGAACAACTTAGAGTGCGACGAGTTACACATCCTGCACCTTGGAGCTTTACAGTATTATGTTGGCAGCATTCTGTGGTTGCTGACATATGATTGCCTCGGCGGAACACCGACCGAGAATTTCGAGCTGGCGTGGAAAATGATACTAGATGGGTACAGAGGTTCTCCGAGCGGCACAGAGTTCTCAAAAATGAGAATAACATCTTTCATCGACCCTAGCAAATGGAACGAAGCCTACCCAAGGTTAATAGGGAAGGGCTGTGAGGTGAAGTCTCTTATTGTGCCTCTCCATATCATTTGGGGAAAGCTGAAAAAAAGCAGGCCGCTTTTACGATCAGGTTGCCAACTCGCTCGATGCAATGACTCAAATACAGTTCATTATAGATGATTACAGCAATGACGCGTTCATTCCAGATAATGAAGCGGCCTCCTGCTTGTCTGAGACTGATAAGTTCTGTCGGGTGTATTGTTGGCTCACGAACGCGAGCAAGGCTCGCGACCAGATGTTGTTCACTCCAGCGCCAAAACTACATTGGATGTGGCACATGAGCAACAGAGCAAAGTACTTGAGCGTCCGCAGGGGCGCGACGTTCATTGATGAGGATTTCGTTGAGCACATGAAAAAATCGGTGGCCAATCAGTGGCAGGCACAACCATGCACATGGTACCGAATGTGGTTGTCGAGAAGTATCGGTGGGGCATCAGCCTCGAGTGATAGCGCGTGCCCAGCACTTGGTTGGGCACGAGAAAACAACAGACATCATCGTCACCATCATCATCATCGTCATCAGCATCATCATCATTATAATGATCAGCATAGTAATAATAATCATCATCATCATCGTCACCACCATCATCATCGCCACCATCATGCCCCCCCTCCGTGGCCCTGTCGATCGACGAGGGCGCCGCGGCAGTGGCCAGGGCAGCCGCCGCCCGCGCGACCCAGACGGGGCGGGGGGGTGAGGAGGAGGTGGAAGAGGGGCAAGGGCGGCGGATAATACGAGCGCAAGGGGACGTGGGACGGGAGGGGGTGGATGACACGGATGAGGAAGGGGGGCGGAGGAAGGACGACGGAGGAGGACCAGCGTGAGCGTTTTCGATCAAGACCCTGAACAGCGTGTTGTCGGCCGTGGTCCTGGGGCCGCCTGGGCCTTCGGGGGCCGAGCCTCCGTCCTGGCTGTGTTTGGGGTCTTCTGTTTGCTTTATTTTCAATGGTTTTATTTTTTTTTGACGCCCTCTGGGGGGCGTCCAGTGTGGAAAACACACACGACAATAAATAATGATGTGGTCAATTTTCTGTTGAACTGATTTTCCGATTCTGGTTTGCTGGCTCTTCGTCCTGAGTCCCCCCTCCTCTCACTATTCGCACGGCTCGCGCCGACTCCGCCAGCCGATGTCCCCGCGCGGTTCGCGTCCGCGGCGCTGGGCGCTCATGGGGGCCCACATTGGGAGGGGGGGCCTTGAGGCCCAAAGACGACTCCACGCGGGCATCCAACATAAAAAACGAGATGGCTTGTGGTATGCATTCGTGGGTTTTGGTTGGGTTCGGCTGGGGCAGTCCTGGGGCTTTCCTGAGCCGTCGCGTTCTTTCCTGAGGGCCTCTTGGGCCGTACCCTGAGGGCTCCTTGGTTGTTCCCCAGGGACATGCCCGAAATTTCCTGGTCTCGATTCAGGCGTCAGCGATGCCCGCCCTCTGCTAGGCGGCCAGAGACAGCTCATGGGGGGCTCCGCAATGCCCCAAGATTGCCCCGAGAGAGCAACGAGAGGGGCCCAAGGAGGAGGAGGAGGAGGAGGAGGAGAGGAGGAGGATTACTGAATTTATGGATCGCCAAGCACTGCAGCCTTCAATCGGGAAGCTGCCTTGTAGGAGAGCGTTCGGCAACCGCGGAAAACGACGGATAAGTTATGTTTAAGAATCTATGGTAAGTTCAAATTAAGTTAAGTGATTTTCTCCCCCCCACAACGAATGTAGATACGTTCAAACTAAGATACGTGCAACAGAGCAGAGATTTCTGATTACACTCATCCATGTATCGAAAATTGTGCGGTGTTTCCAACAGCTGGCCGGCCTCGTATTGGATCGTCGCACGTTTCTTGCCTTAGGCCGCATTTAGCATGTACTTAAAATGCCCTGCCCTGTTGTACTTAACTTAGTTTGAACTTATATACCTTAGTTTTGCTGGCGGGTTCACCTTAGTTTCTTAGAACTGAACATAGCTTCTTAAACTTAACGTATCCTTTGTTTTCTGTGGGTGCCAGATGCTCAGGGAGGGGGGGGCAGGGACGCAATGAAATAAGAAGAGGCGCCGTGAAATCTGGGGAAATATCCTGGCCCGCGCCATGATATCCTGGCCCGCGCCCTCTTTTCCGCCCCCGAAGGATGGGGACAGAATCGGACCAGGCGGGTGGCCACGGGGGGTGACCTGCCCGGGGGGGCGAGGGGGGGGAGGCCAGGAAGGAGCCCTTCAGGGACACCGTGGGGCCCCTGCTGGCTCCAGAAGGGGGCCCTACAGGGCCCCCTTTAGAGCCCTCCTCTGCACCCACTTGAACGAAGGATTGCAAAAAAAACCGAAGGATTGCAAAAAAAACCTTCGAACGAAGGATTGCAACAAAACGAAGGTTTTTTTGCAATCCTTTGCAATCCATCGGTTTTTTGCAATCCTGGTTTTTTTTGCAATCCTTCGTTTTTTTGCAATCCTTCGTTTTTTTGCAATCCTTTTTCTTGCAATCCTTCCTTCAGGTCACCCCCCCGTGCCACCCGCCAGATCGGACCCGGATGAAGCGACGATCTCTGAGATCTGGCGGTTCTGGAGGATGTGTGGGGCGCCGAGGCCGTTCCAGCGCATTGGGGAACGCTCTGAGAGCGTTCCGGGGCTCCCCCGGGGCCCAACACTAGCTTTTGTCCCCGATGAGGACGTCTGGAACTCCTGCAGGGTGTCCGACCCCGCGGGGAAAGCTCGCACAGGGAAGGCGTGCCACAGGTGCGACATCTCTGGTGTCCGCGCTGCGCTCGCGGAGCCATCCCGCTGCGCAGTCTGGAAACGTGGAAGAGGAGGGACGCGAGAAGCCGCGGTTTGAAGGGGGCCAGCGCCAAACCAACAATGCGCCGAAGAAGAAACCACACATGTTCATCCATCTATCTAACTATATATTTGTACACACACATTCCTCTAGACATAGACACACACATATAGATATATATATATATATATAAACATGCATACATCCACATATATATATGTGCATTTATATATGTATATAATGCAGACGTTCTGAGCTCCGCGCGGACTTCTTGGATCTGTGCTGGGTTCCCCTGGCGGCGCCTCTGGCGCCGCCCCTGGCGCTCTCCGCGCGCAAGGGAGGCGGGCCTAGCGCCGATCAGAGACTCCATCGAAGGAGAAACACAATCCATGCACACACATATCTATTTTTATAGACCTGCATACATACATCAAGGCGGCCCACCCCCGATCCAAGAAATCCACGCGGACCTCTGACAATTTACGCATATACCGTTGCTTCTCCAGTTATGCTTTGCCAAAGGGTCTCTGACTAGTTTGTGCAAAGAGTCGGTCGTCTATTCTTCGAGGGAGGGGGCCCGCGGTGAGTGCCTGCGAGGCCGTCGTGGGCCCCGAATGTAGCCCATCGTGGCTTCCATGTAATCCAGTGCGTTGCAAGAGCGTCTCCCCAAACTGGGCAATGCTGCGCAAATCTGCCTCCCACACGACGGCTCTGGCTGGCCCCAGGATGGCTCCAAGATAGCCCCAGCGCGTCCCAAGGGAGCCTCGACAGGCCAGACGCAACAATATCATCGAGGCGTCTGCAAACTTCGTATGTTTCACCTGTTTATGCCCAGAGCGCCCCTAAGATTTCAGGTACCTCTGGGAGTGAAGCCCCCAGCATGGCACCAGGCAGCCCCAAACGCCCACAACGTGCCCCCCACGAAGGCGCAGACCTCTCCGAGACAGCTCGAGGCCGCTCCCAAACGGACCCGAGACGCCCACAGACGGCCCGAAGACCCCCCAACACGGCCCTGGGACCCGAAAAAGCTGCCCGGGCGGCTCCAAGAGGCCCCCAAGATACCCGAGAGAGTCCCAAATCGGCCCAAGAGGTCCTCATCACATCTCGTCTCGTTCCCCCCTCTCCTCCTCCAACTCCTCCGCCGCCATACATTCAGGGCCATCGGAAGCGAACCATTCGATGGACAGGACCTTCTCCCCGAACCTTGAGGAATTACAGCAACACGCGCACCTGCTCCTAGGGGGCTCCCGAGAACACAGCAGCCACCACAGAGGGCGGTGCATGCAGGGAGCTCGACCCAGGTCTACAAGCTGGAGGATCGCCATTAAACAGTCCTTTGCGCTTGAGAGAGCGGCCCAAGCGCCCAAAAGATCGTGATGTCCGCCAGTGCGAAGAGCTTAATACAACAGCGGAACACGTTCTCCGCCGGCGCAGAACAGGACGGCCGCCAACCCTAACTGGCGTGGCGGGGCTTCCACGGCGGCGACGACAGAGGAAGGAGGTAGAGGAACAGTCAAACGAGTTACAGTCGACGCGCTGCCATACAGTGGAGGCCAGTCCACAAGAAGCCTTCCACAAGGAACCCTAACCCTGAGACCACAGGGCGTCCATCGTTTTTTTGGTGCGGGAATGTCGCGCTCTTTATAGCAAAGCCATCAGAATCCAAGAAACCCAGGGCACCCTGGAGGAAAGCAGGGTGCCTCTTGGCATGGGCCTCCGCTGTAGAGGAACAGCCAGACGAGTCACAGTCGACGCGCTGCCGTGAGGCCCGCCGAATGCAGTGCGGGCAGAACCCGTGTCCAGATCCACTGCAGCTTGGGGGGTCGGGCTCCCTTCCCCAGAAAGCCGAGGAGCACTGGATATGGATCAACATCAGGCCCCTACTAGAAGGCTCGAACATCTACCCATATCCAGTGCGCCTCGGCCCTACGGCGCCCCCTCCACGAACATCCAAAACGCCCTGGATATGGATATGGATAAACATCAGGCCCCTACGAAAAGGCTCGAATCTTTACCCATATTCAGTGCGCCTCGGCCCTACGGCGCCCCCTCCTCCTCCTCCTCCTCCTCCTCCTCCTCCTCCTCTTCCTCCTCCTGTTAGACATGTTACAATGTTGCCCGCACGAGGCACGAATGGGGCTCATCCCGACCACGGCGAACCTCGGCCGCGCACACACGTTCCCCGACCCTGGACTTCAGCAGCGGCCGCACCGCACCCGGCCTCCCCCCCCTCCCGAGCCCGACGCGGCCCGTGCCTCGGCGCCTCGACTGCCTCGGCGCCTCGACTGCCTCGACTGCCTCGACTGCCTCCCCGAGCCCGGCGCGGCCCCCCGGTGCCTCGGCGCCTCGACACTGCAGGAGCCGCGGAGGAGCGGAGGGGGACGCCTCGGGGCGGAGGGGGCACTCCTCGGCGAGGGCTCCCGGCTCTGCGCTCCGCGCTGCGCGAGGCGCGAAGCGCGAATGACTTCGCGCTCTCGCGCCGCCTCCCAAGGGAGAAGAGGAGGACGAGGAGGAATCGGAGCCGAACCGCGAAGCGCGAATAGCTTCGCGCCCTCGAGGGCGCCCTTGCTCAGGGATTCCGCACGCTCCTCAGACCTCCGACGCCGTGGCTTCCTCAGCGCAGGGCCCCCAGGAATCATACCCGCCCTCCCCCCCTTGAGGCTGCCTTGTCCTCCCGAGTCTTGAGAAACGACGAACCACATAACGAAAACTTTCGGAAATCCGTGCGGAATTCTCGGACCAGCGCTGGACACCCCTCTCTGGCGCGCGGAGAATGCCAGAGACGCCGCCAGGGGGTCCAACGCAAATCCAAGAACATCGCGCGGACATCCGACAGTCTATGGTTGTGCCGTTTTTTTTTTTTTTTTTTTTTTTTTTTTTTTTTTTTTTTTTTTTTTTTTTTTTTTTTTTTTTTTTTTTTTTTTTTTTTTTTTTTTTTTTTAATTTGTTCGACTGTCATCCCGAGCCCATGCTCGACGACCCTGCAAGGCGAGGCGGGGACTTATCCGTAACCACCGCCCAAGGGTTCGAAATTCGGGGGCCCCGGCGGGCGGTGGATGTGAACACCTTTCCAGGGTCCAGACATATTCACATCTTGGAGGCGGTTAGGGGGTTAGAATTGATTGGGACACTCGAGAATTCGCCGGCCCAACGGGCCAGGGCGTGCTAAGATCTCCGGTACCTGGTTAACAGTATTTCTAGTTCGCGCGCGCGGGGCGGCCCCTGGGGGTCCCCGGACGAAAAGTACCCCGGCAAGGTCCCGGCAAGTCCCCGGCAAGGTCGGGTCAGAGATGCCGGAGTTCTGTTACAGGGCCCCAGGACGGGCCAAGAGGTCCCCAAGAAGCCTCCAAGACGGTCCAAGAGGGCCCCGAGACGGCCAAAGATCGCCCGAAGACGCCCAACAGGGCCCCAAGACAGCCCAAGAGGCCTAAGACGCCCCAAGGGCCTTCCTAAGAGGCCTCCGAAGAGGGCCCCAAGAGGCCAAAATCGTTGATTTGCATTGTTTTTTCATATATTTTTTGCGTTCTGGCTTTTTCGGCTTCCGGACGCTCCCAGACGGCCCAAGAGGCCCCCAAGACCGCTCCAAGACGGCCCACGAGGCTCCCAAGACGGCCCCGGAACGGCCCAGGAGGGCCCCCAAGACGGCCCAAGTGCCGCCCAAGACGGACCAAGAGGCCCCAA